AGGAGCAGAGAGGAGAGAGGAGGCACACAACCGGGCTGGAGGAGAGCAGAGAGCGGTCAGAGGAGCAGAGAGGAGAGAGGAGACACACAGCTGGGCTGGAGGAGAACAGAGAGGGCTCGGAGGAGCAGAGAGGAGAGAGGAGGCACACAGGCGGACTGGAGGAGAGCAGAGAGGAGTTGGAGGAGCAGAGAGGAGAGCGGAGGCACACAGCCGGGCTGATAAAGAGGAAAGAAGGGTCAGAAGAGCAGAGAGGAGAGAGGAGGCACACAGCAGGGCTGGAGGAGAGCAGAGAGGGGTCTGAGGAGCAGACAGGAGAGAGGAGGCACACAGCTGGGCTGGAGGAGAGCAGAGAGGGGTATGAGGAGCAGACAGGAGAGAGGAGGCACACAGCCGGGCTGATAAAGAGGAAAGAAGGGTCAGAAGAGCAGAGAGGAGAGAGGAGGCACACAGCTGGGCTGGAGGAGAGCAGAGATGGGTCGGAGGAGCAGAGAGGAGAGAGGAGGCACACAGCCAGGCTGGAGGAGAGCAGAGAGGGGTCCGAGGAGGAGAGAGGAGAAAGGAGGTACACAGCCGGGCTGATAAAGAGGAGCGAGGGGTCGTCCGAAGAGCATCAGGGCGCAGAAGAGGGGAGAGCGATAGAGGAAGTGCAGCCGCTGGGCCCGGGACCGAGCAGGCAGACAGCGGGAGACACGCAGAGGGACGGGAGCAGAGGAGCTGGCAGCCAAGGCCCTGCATGGCAACAGGAGGGGGGAGATGGGGTGTCTGCCCATCCATGTCTCTCAGCCCCTTCCTCCCTGTGTGCCGCCCCTCCTCCTCCTCTCGCCGCGCTGCTGGCAGACACCAGACTGACGCTGGACGTGTTCCCCAGAGGCGCAGTGCTGCTGTGCGGCCTGTGGGAGGCGCTGCAGGGAGCAGTGAGCAGGGTGGAGTTTCTGCGGCTGGGCTCCTCGGAGCAGGAGGGGCTGGACAGAGCTCTGACAGTCATCGGCCAGCTCTCCCGGCTCAGGTCCCTGTCGATTCGAGGTACTGTCTCCCCCACATTCTCAGGGGGCTGTGTCTCTGTGTCTCCCTGTGTCTGTGTATCTCAGGGGGCTGTGTCCCCTTGTGTCCCCATGTGTGTCTCTGTGTGACTGTGTGTGTCTCTGTTTGTCACAGTGTGACACGGTGTCTCTGTGTGAAACAGTGTGTCTTAGGGCGCTGTGTCGCCGTGTGTCGCCGTGTGTCGCCGTGTGTCGCCGTGTGTCGCCGTGTGTCACTGTGTTTCGCCGTATGTCGCCGTGTGACTGCGTGTGTCTCTGTGTGTCTCAGGGGGCTGTGTCTCTGTGTGTGTCTGTGTATCTCAGGTGGCTGTGTCCCCGTGTGTGTCTCTGTGTGACTGCGTGTGTCTCTGTGTGTCTCTGTCACAGTGTGACACAGTGTCTCTGTGTGACTGTGTGTGTCTCTGTGTGTCACAGTGTGACACAGTGTCTCTGTGTGACACAGTGTGTCTCAGGGGGCTGTGTGTCTCTGTCTCAGGGGGCTGTGTGTCTCTGTCTCAGGG